AAGGCATCCTTGGCGAACCCGAGAGAGATATTTCGATTTTTACTGGTCGATAAAAAATTATTAAACGAAATAAGTGCACCTTTGTTTTTAGTGAGTTTTTCGAAATCTGCCGTCAATAATCCTTGCCCCCGATAAAGTGGAAAGGTCTTACCATGATATTTATTGATTTGTTTGCTGTGTAAATCTTCAATTTGTCGATGGACATCACATAAATAAAATCCCATTCGGATAATAATATCACCATCGAGCGTTCTTAATGCTCGATTGAGCATGTTGTATGTAAAGCATTGGCGTGTATACCACCATATCGCCAATGTAGGATGATAAGTACGCTGAAATTCATCGATACTTTTGAGTTCTTTTTTATTACCTTTATATTTTTCTTGGCAGAAGGTGACCAAATCTTTAATGGCTTGTTGACCATGATCCATATCAAGGAGAATTTCCTTGAATATTTGTGTATACATGAAGGATGGTTCTAGCTGATTGAGATCTTGACTAGAACCTCCTTCATTGATGCCAATAATACTGACAGTTACCTGATCTTGATTACATTGCTTGACGGCTACTGCCAGTTTTTCACAGATACTTTTGATTGTGGTGTGAACGCCTTTAATTTTGGACCAATTTTTGGCCCACTCTTGATGGCGTTGTTTGTTACCACAGAAGATATATATGCCATCTAATTTTGGCATGCCATGAATTTCTGGTACGAGATGTTGGCCAAGTGCACCAGAGGAGATAACAAATAATGTCTCCTCACTGTTTTCCTGGAGCTTGTCAATACATTGTTCGGCCGTGGTGCATGGGTTCACATCATTAACAACACTGCGCAATTGCGCGAGTGTGTTTTGGCAATCTTCGTTTTCCACGTTGATATTGCCGTCAACCCAGATCACCAGGTAATTTTCAGCCATTTGTCGCCGCCGTTGTCGATTCATTTTGAATGAAAACTCTGTTATTGAATCAATAATAGAGTACAATGCACAGTGAAATGCTATTTGAATAAAGTTCGTCTTTCCTATATATATTCGGTGTTGACTGTTTTTTTTTAAATTTTTCTACCACATTAAATGTGAATGTGTGTTTTTGTTTTGTTGACACTCAAGGCAAACTCTACCTAGTTGCAGTTGATTATATAGTTGCCAACAACATCAGTGATTGCATTATTATTCTTTCCAACTTTCGTTTGTTTGTCATTTTTATTATAATACACTTTGTGATGATGTGAACAAAACAACAA